TTTTCACCATCACCTACATGAACATCAATTAGCAGTCAAACGCCATGATATCTCTTCACTTATATCAATACACGTGGACAACTGCGGACACTCATTAGATTGGAAAAATGTGAAAATCTTAGACAGAGGAAATTCCAAAAACACCAGAAAATTTTTAGAAGCCTGGCAATCAATCCAATTTACCAACCAATCGGGAAAATTATGCACACATATAAGAATAAAAATCAACCAATGGGAGACACAATCAAATAGAAGAAGTAAACAATGACAAATTTAAAGTCAATAAGAACCAATTAACATCAAGGTGCACAGAACAAGCTGTGAAACACATATGGAGAAATTCGAACACTTCACTTCTATCTGAGGTTGTGCTGACAATTTCGTTGGAAGAACGATGAAAGCTCCATGACCAAACCATCCAGCTCAGAGAATAAAACTCCACCAAAACCAACTATACATTTGACTTGTAGACATAGATCATCTTACAACGTCTTGATGAAGTTTTGTTCTCTGAATTAGATGGTTTAGTCATGGATCTTTCATTGTTCTTCTGAACAACATCATCAATCAACACAAACTTCAAATAGAAATGAAGTGTTCAAATTTCTACTGATGATGTCATTCAGAAGAAAATGAAAGCTTCACGACTAAACCATTCAGTTTAGAGAACAAAACTCTATCAAAATCATCTATCTACCTAAACTACAAATCTTCTCCATCATCTCACCTGACTACCATTCGTCTTGAATAATATCTACGATAAAAACTGTAAAGTTTCTAAGTGGTTTACTAGTCATTTTCGAAACTTTAAAAGTACATACTTCAAGTTTACCATTCAACAAATACTTGATTTAACAAAATTTTTTTTGAAACAAAAAAGACTAATTTTACACCGAAATTAATCTCTATGCAGAAAAAAAAATTGATTTTTCATTACCACCCCCATTTTCCGTTAAAAAGTGTGAGGGGGGGGGTAAACAAATAGTCTTTTTTTCATCATATAAGGTTTAATGTATTGAGATTAGATGATGGTTGAAGGTAGTCAACAGGAAACCCTGGACCCGGGTTTCGTGCTACTTGGCACTCGTCAGCAAGGTGTACCTGTAATCTTGAGGTAATTGGTGCTCCCTGGCGGATTCGAACTCGTGTCACCCAGCTTCACAGTCAGAGACGTTACCACTGAGCTATCCGAGCTGCGACCGACCTCCTGTAGGACTGAGATGTAATCACAATTGATTGATCACTGGGTGGTGATCAATCAATTGTGAAGGTTTGATGTCTCCAAAAAGATTTTTGTATTGTTGATTTAGCCCCTGTTCCATAAATTTTACGAGATTAATCATCTAAAATTAATTGTTTTACACTTGAATGTTAAACAATTCATTCATTATTATAATTGATCAATGACAAAAGAATTTATATATTTGATAAATTTGGTTACTATGGTTTCTATTTTCTAGTCTTATTTTCTTTCTTTTGTCTTATACATTTAAACAAATATTATGATATTCAATTGGTATTGTTTGGCTTGTATCTTCCTATTGAGGACTCAGTAGTTGAATGGATAACGCGATGGCGTTTGAAGCGAATCATACTACTGAGTTCGAGTCCCACAATGAACATCAACTCTGAGATGCAGGTACATGCAACTGACGAGTCTCAAATAGGACGAAATGCCCATCTTGGATTCTACTGCTTGCCAATATTAATCTTTGCTTAGAATGCTTGTGAATCAAGACAATATCGAGACAATTCACACAAGATGCATATATGCCAATAATGAAAGGCTGACCAATCGATGTCCTAAACATCGACGGAAAGATTCAAGTAAACAATACCAAGTGAATTTAAACTTCACTCCACTACATAAGCAAGAGGCTGACAGGACTCAGTAGCTAAATGGTGTTACGTCCCAGTGAAGATTACATTACGAGTAACGTCTGAGACTTATTAATGGACTATTATTATTTATATATTCTCATGGTATAAATATTCGGTAACTAGATTATGTATATCTATATTCCCCTTGTTATAAACTTTATTTTCACCTATAATTTATTATTGTACGATTTACGGTTGTTAAGCTATGCTCAGTTGATTAACTACTGCCTCCCACGTTCACAGCCAGTTTTGGGCTTTATTGTGTACATATGTTATTTCGTATTTTATGCTGCGTTGTGGTCTGTTTGGTTGATATATAAACCTAGTTTGTCTGAAATAAACGATTCCCATAGTGGAAGCTGGTATTGGTGTTCTGGTTTCAATTGGACGGGTTGGGGGAAATAGGACCAATAAGGACGCTAGACTGCTCAAACCGGTTGAACGTCATTGGTTTGGTACTGTGCTAAGATTGTATAAGTCTTATTTTGATTGGCGGATAAATCACGTGGTAAAAATCCAGACATAAAGTCATAACAAACGAATAACACGATGGTGATCGTAGCGAACAGTACTCAGTTCGAGTCCCAGAGTGAACATCAACTATGGGATGTATTTCATCAAACATCACAAAGGTATTCTAAATTGTACATTTTTTTCAGCTAATATTCATTCTTGATTGAAAGCATCCATTGATAAGCTAAACTTCTGTCTAATATACGATTGTTTGCTCCGAAATTTTCTAGTTAATCATAAGTGACTGGTGGTGTTCAATATTGTCAGGAATGTGACAGTAATAATTGAAGTGATTCGACAATTCTAGTTAATTGATTTAAGAAGAAAATATAGAATAGTTAGATTCGAACCAGGTAGTTTTATGTTTGAGTGTTTTAGGCCTAATCTCAGGCTGAGTGTTGAATATTTTGACTTACAGTAGTAATAAGATTTTGATTAATGACTAAACCCATTAATGAATAAATTTAAACAATATCAGTATGGGGATTTGTGAAGATTGTATTAGTTTAACAGTTGAATTCAATCAAGTCAATCTAAGCTAGATCACTATTGATACTCAGGAAGCAAAGAACGGCTGTTTCGTGGATACTCATTTCTGAGGAGACGAATAAATCATGAGTACAATGCAATGTCATGCATGGAGGGCAGCTGAAAGATGCATTCCAAGTGAGGACCAGAGATAGATAAGGCTACTTAATTTCTCCCTTCCTCTTTCTTCTAGTTGTCGACTGGATTATTAAGACTTTGACAGCAGAGAGAAAGTAGGAAATACAATGGACAGCTCGGAATCAGTTAGAAGATTCGGACTTCGCAGATGACCTGGTCCCTCTATCCCATACACACACATGAACAAATGCAGATGAAGCCAACTAGTGTAGCAGCAGCCTCTATATCAGTAAGCCTCAACATACATAAAGGAGAAAGCAAGGTCCTCAAATACAGCACGGAGAACACCAACCCAATCACACTTGGCGGAGCTCTTGAAGATGTGAAAAGCTTCATGTACTTCGATAGCATCATCGATGAGAGTGGAGGATCCGATATAGACGTATAGGCCAGGATTGGCAAAGCATGGGCCACATTCCTACAGTGGAAGAACATATGGAACTCAAAACAACTGTCTGCAAGTCAACATCAAAGTCGGAATCTCCAATACGAACATCAAGACAGTTCTACTATAGGAAGCTGAAACGTAGAGAACTACTACAACCATCATCAAAAAATGCAAGTATTTATAAACAGTTGTCAAAACAAGAAGCTCAATGTCCGTCGACCGGATACCATCAGCAACAACTTTCTGTAGAAGAGTACAAACCAGCTTCCAAATGAAGAGGAAGGGAGGAAAAGACGTTGGAAGTGGATAGGACAAACATTGAGGAAATCATCAAACTGTATCACGAGACAAGCTCTAACTTGGAATCGTGAAGGGAAACGGGAAAAAAGGAAGGCCAAGGAACAAATTACCTCGGAAATAGAATCAGATATTAAGAAGATGAATAACAACTGGAAAGAATTGACCAGGACAGAGTTGGATGAAGAATGTTGGTTTGTGGTCTAACCTCCTCCTCCTGCATGAAGGGTAAGGATTTAAGTAAATGTAAATAAGACAGTAACTCAATAACGACATTAAAAATATCGCTTATAAAATAAATCGATCTAATTGAAAAGTATCGACAAAACAAAATCTGATCAACAGTGTGCTACTCATAGCATCATTTGTTATTCATCAGTTATTTGATTTATTAATAACTTATGTTAGTGATCAGAAAAATGGTTTTGTGAAGACTATAGTAATTGTAATGGTTGATTTCATGAACTAATTCAAGCTAGATCATTATGACAAACCTGAAAGTAGATGGTGGTTTGAGGTAGTCTACAGGAAATCCTAGACACAGGTTTCGTGCTACTAGGCACTCGTCATCAGCAAGGTGTACCTGTAATCTTGAGGGAACTGTTGCTCCCTGGCGGATTCGATTTCATGTCACCCAACTTCACAGTCAAGGATGTTCAGGGTTTCCTGTCGACTACCTCCAACCACCATTTAATCTCAATATATAATGCACACAGTGTCGAGTCACCTAGACTGACGGCCACATTGCAACATGGTGGATAACATTCGTTCTGTACTAAATAAGGACTTGACACACATGACGTTGATCACCACCACTCAGTAATCAATCAATTGTGGATAACCTGAAAGTACTAAACAGCTCTTTCGTCCTAATATTAAACTCCTCAATAATATGTATCCACGATCCTACCCTATGGAGATTATGATACAATCTTTCTGGATGAGAAACACTAAAATAAAAATTCACTTTGTATTGTTTGACTTGTATCTTCCTATTGAGGTTTAACACTGCAATTGATCAGTCTGTTATTGGCATATGTGTATACTGTGCGTATGCCTCGATATTACCTTAATTCACAAGCTATTTGTAAGTAATGATGAATAGTGGCTAGTAGTGGAATCCAGTTTGACGCGTGTTTCATCCTATTTAAGACTCGTCAGTTGGATGTACTTACATCTCAGAGAGTTGATGTTCACTCTGAAACTCGAACCCAGTACCATTCATTTCAAACTAAACTAAAAGTTGATAAACTTTGTAAAGTACAATATGATTGTATATTAGTAGTTACATTTATGTAAAATATACATTAAGCACACAGCTATGTATTTCTATGAATTATACATATACAAATAAGAAAGTGTATTATAAGTTACTTTTCCTAAAAAAAGAAAAGAAAAGAAAAGAAAGAAAAGAAAAGAAAAAAAACAAAAATAATTATGTCATCTCTTTAGTTTGAGTAATAATCAACTCTAATTTCATTCAATGAATGTATTTCCTTATGGAATGCAAACAGATATATATATATATAGCTTGTTTGTGTGTGTCTCTAGCCCCCCCCTGTGTGTATGTCTCTCCCCCTATGTGTGTGATAGTAACGTAATAATGAATATTAAATTACAATAAACATTGAATAATAATAGCAACAGCAACGATAACAACAACAATAAGAATAAAACATTGAATACATTGAATACAAACTTCCGGTAATTTTGAATTAATCCACCACGTACAATTTCTATTTGTTTGTTTGTTTGTTTATTTTCTTTTTTTCTTTTCTTTTTTTTTGTTTTTGTTTTGTATAAACCGTGAAAAAGAAATAGGAGTCTCTTATTCAATGAAACATCCTGAATTATACTTAATTTATTGTAATAAGAGTCATAATAATAATGATGATAATGATAATAATCATTTACATTTACATTCAGTATAGATGAAACTAAGGAAATTCGATTCAATCTACATTGTTGTTCTTGTTGTTGTTGTTGTTGTTCTTCTTCTTCTTCTATTTAACTAGAACAACAATTACGTAATGGTTTGGTTGAATGGTTTAATTTAAATGATTGTGATTTCGATGATTGATTTGATGATATTGAATTATGAATTTCATTGATAGTTGTTGAATAACCATTTGATTGTTGAATTGAATTCGTTGGTGAAATGGTACACATTGGTGTTTGAATTTCTAGTAAACGTCTGTAAAGAAGAATAAATAAAGTGATGAATAGTAGGTTCAGTTAGTCAATCAGTTACAATGTATCATCAGATAGTGGAGAAGATTTGTAGCTCAGGTGGATGATTTTGGTGGAGTTTTGTTCTCTGAGCTGGATTGGAAAAAAAGAAAAAAGAGATTACAACAGATCAGGCACATATATATGTAGTGTGGCGTCGAGTCGCGGTTGACTATGATCACCAGTACAGAAAGGTTACGTACCAAATATCAGAAGGCAATTGAAGGTTGTACCGAAGTATATTTGTTAGTGATCTCGTGGTATCGAAAGATTACCGAGATCGTATCAAGGGAGTACAAGCGGATTTACTGAGCAAACGTAAAGTCGTACAAGATCACAATCAGCGGAAGGAAGAATAGAAGAATAATAGATGTCTTTAATACAGTTAAACAAAACAAGTCCAGTAACACAATCACTGGTACTGTGGTGCGTGCTACTTATATTGATATAAATAGTACATTATGTGAGTCAGGAATGTAATGTCTGACAGTAGAAGATGAGGGAAGATCAAGAAAGCAAGAGCGGGAATAGAATGCAATTTGTATGAAAATGTAAGAACAATGAAGTCTGAGGAATTTTGAGACAATTGGTGAACATTTTGCGAATTAACGATTTAATATATAGTTCTCAGATTTTATTGAGATGCTCTGTAATTTTGTGCCTACTACATTCGATTGCCCCACTCGTGTTCTGTTCACTGCGGTGCAATTGGTTATAATAATAGTTGTTCCCACTAAACCAATCGCGTTCTGTGGATAAAAGTAGGTCACTACATATATATCAATCCAAGTTGTCATATCTCATTAGCACAATAAGATGAATACGAATTCATAGAAGTAGTTAATTCAATGGTGGTAGTAATATATATAAATAAGTTATATAATATAGTTATATAACATACCCTTGTGGGCCAGGGTAATTGTACATTGGTTTTCAGGAGAACCAGACACCATCCGGACTTTCACGTGACAACCCAAGCAGTACAGCTCAACCCCGTTTAGCAGGGGGAACAGACACCGTACAGGCTTTAACGCTACAATCTGAATAGTACAGCTCAATCCTGTGGCGCAACCAAACAGGTACCAAGCAGCTTGGTGGACCATTCACACCATTCATATACACATTCACATCACATGTATAGTTATTCCGATCAATGATCGCGTGAATCAATTATGCACAGCACGAACAGGCTAAAGTTGACCTATTCCGCTTACACGACAGTCAAACTCGTTAATGTTAGCAATGGCAGCATGCCTTACAATGTCCCAATGACAATGGCCCTTGGGAACACTGAAAAGCAACCACCAGTATGAATGAAGTCAGTTAACCAGCAAACCAATTTTATGCATGAAGAGTCAGCAAAACTTGCCAAAGCAATTCCGAACCATCCACAATAACAATGACAAACCTCCAGCCTCATATGAGACTTTCAGCTCTATATAGCCATATTAGCTCATACTGCATACAACACATGTATAGGGTAATAAGCAAAATAGCCCAGCCTGAAGCGTTAGGGATTAAATAACGCTTAAAACCCACTGTCTGATATCGGATAAAAATAAGATTGTGTATAAGGATATAGTACAGGAAGAAAGATTAAGTACGTAGAAAGAAAGATATGAAGCGATTTAAATCTCATAGTTTAAGAAAGGACAGTGAAAGTATACACCGACGCCACTGTGATCGCTTTTGAGTCATGTCATCAAGAGTCTCTACAGTGTGGGCAACCGGAAAGTGATAACCGCCCTTATACCTTTAACAGCAATCAAGACCACTGATTAATAGGTTAAAAATAAAATTGAAAAACAAAAGCTTAATACTATACGATTGAACTAATTCACAAGTGGATCTAAGCTAGATAATCATTGAAAAATTCGGAAGCAATGTATGATTGTTTCATTCTAGTATGAGACTCGTCAGAAATGCTGATTCACGACCCTATACTCAGGATCCGATCTCTAGATCTTCGGTTTCGCATATGAATGCTTTAACTTGAAGATCACTGAGCCAGTATCCAACAGTGTTAATGTTTAACTTTAATCGATACATGATACTGCACTGCTCTACTTCCATTGTCTAGGATGGTTAACTATCTCACACCTGATATAGATTGGTCTTCACTGGTCACGGCTTCTCACTAGAATTCTAAGAATTTCTTTTTGAAACTAGTTACTAGTGAGTATATAATATTCATAATTCTCAAAATAAATTATAGTAAAATAGGTTATTATCAATGTTATCGGGAAAAAGAAAAATGCTTTGAAATGAAAACTTAGTTATATTAGTTCCCTGATGACTCGTTTTATACCTTTTTAACAAATATTCGATCAGAAGGGTTTGTGGAGATTTTAGAAATTTTCACAGATTGAAATCATGAGTCAGTTGAAGCTAGACCACCATTGAAAACCTGGAACACTGGACGGCCGTTCGTCCTAGTATGGATCCTCAGCAGTGCGCATCACGATCCCGCTTCAACTGACTCATGATTCAATCTGTGAAAATTTCTAAAAATCCCAAAACCCCTTCTGATAATAATCATCTGCTCACTAGTGACTGACTTCAAGAGATACTCCTGGAGTTCTAGTGGGAAGCCGTTACCAGTGGAGTACAACCAGGTCTGTTGTGAGATATCAGCTCACTGAATACAATGGTATATGGTGGCGCAACTTCGTGATTGGTGAAGTTAACATTAACACCGTTGGATGCCGGCTCAGTGGTCTTGTGGTTAAGTGCTCGCGCGCGAAGCCAGTAGTTCCTGGGTTCGAGCCCCGGTGGTGCGGGATCGTGGATGCGCACTGTTGAGGAGTCCCATACTAGGACGAAACGGCCGTCCAGGCTTCCAGGTTTCAATGGTGGTCTAGCTAAGTATTCGATCAACAATTAGTAGCTAAGAATTAGCCAATCAGCGCGCTAGTCAATACTTGGAGAACATTCTAGAATCTTCTCATGTAAAAAATATAAATATACTAACGTTTCTCTTATTGTACTTCTTACTTCCACCTAACTTTGTTATTTGGAATATAATCTCTTTCCTGTTCAACTGTGTTCTGATTTGGGGACTTATCGAGTGAACTGGTGTCTGAGAATACTAGCAATAGGAATAGCTGAATTGTAATTTGAGAGAATTATAACAGTAGCAACGGGGATTATAAGAACTACAGTCTAATAACTATAAATGTACTATCCAGTTTGTATCAATCATTTTCTAGTTGAACTTCGTAAATTTTAGTGTTTATAGTTATGTAGTCTACTGACATAGCGATGAATGTGATGAGTCTAAAAATGATAGAGTATACAAGTGATTACTATCTAATCTGAATTGACATTTCGCTAATAAAGTATTTCAATAGTTGAAATCATAAGTTAATTAAAGCTAAACCACCATGGAAAAACTGGAAGCATTAGACGGCAATTTCGGCCTAGTATGGGACTAGGACTCCTCAGCAGTGCTCATCCACGATCCTACACTCGGACCCAAGACATTCAGTCTCGTGGGTGAACGCTTGAACTCTAGACCACTGAGCCGGCACCTAATGGTGTTAATGTCTAACTTCAACCAATCCACCAAATTGCACCGCCGTACACCATTGTACTCAGTGAGTTGATGTCTTACAAAAGACCTGATTGAACTCCACTGGTCACGGCTTCTCACTAGAACTCCAGGAAATGCCTCATGGAGACAGTCATTAGTGAGCAGATGATTACTGTATGATTCTCAAATTTTACTAAGATGTTCTGTAATTTTGTGTTCAAATTATTTCCACGTATGTTCTCATTCAGTACAATAACTTTAAACGTTTTAAATAAGTTTTTCCAGTAAAAATTACACTCTAATATTAAGTAAGGCTCAGGATAGATTGAGTTGGAGAATGCCGGTAAAGTGATCTATGCTCCAGTGGGGGGGGAGTAACAGACGTAATTAAAATATTACAACAAAAAGTTTTTTGAATTATCTTACTCAGCTATACAATGAAACATTGAATCGACATTAGCCCCAGTTTTAGCACTTGTCTCCCAGAATAATGCATCCGTTTGCTGAAAAGCAATTTAATAAGAAAACAGATTTGATTAAAAAATCTTTGTATCTAATTAAATCAATAAATCAAAGTTAGTAATAGATTAATCATGTGAATAATCTTGTCATAACCTGGTTACATAAGAAGGAGAGGTGAACGCTTACATTATTATCAATTCTTATATGACTTAATTGGGAGCCTTCATAACCATATTTGATGTAATATATACTATAATAGATTAGAACGAAGGCAATTTGTTTGTAATATAGCTTTCACTAGTTAATTCAACAAATGAAATCATCTACCGCGGTTTTCGGATATCATCAGTAACAGCCTACTGTGAGAGAAAACAAATCAGATTCTAGTTGATGAGGAAATCAGGAAAATACTCTGAAATTGGATAGGACATACATTATGGAAATCATTAATTTGTACCACGAGGCAAGAACTAGCTTAGAGTCCTGAGGCGAAACGGAAAGACCAAAGAATACACTGCACAGGGAATTAGAAGTAGACATGAAAGGAATAATAAGCAACTGGAAACTAATGGAAAGGATTGCCCAGGACAGATTTGAATGGACAATGCTAGTGAGCGGCCTACGCTCCCACATGAGGGTTAAGAGGCGTAAGTAAGTAGGTGCAATTTGTTTGTATACAGAGCCTGTTCATAATATAGAAAAGCATAGAAAGTAGCATATTTTAAAGATCGGTGGTAACCAGTTAGGATGAAGTAAAGCTCATTATAAAGAACTCATTATGGGCAAACGTAAAAAAATATTATCGGAAGGTGTTTTGAGGAGATTATAGTCATGTCAATAGTTGAGATCATAAGTTAATCGAAGCTAGTGGTTAAGCGCTCGCGCTCGAGACCGATAGGTCCTGGGTTCAAATCTCCATAATATGACAAGCGTATCTTTAAACTTTCTCTGAGAAGTTATCAAGACAAAATTTCATTGAACAGTTTATTCTTTGATTGTACTAATCATTTTCGTTTCATTTCACGTTAGGTTCAACATGTATGTAAAGAAATGCACTTTAGGGGAATTCATATGTCAAGTTTCCTGTATATTAAGAGACGTATTTGTTGTGGATCGATAATGTTCATTGTGATTATTTTCGATGTATGTAAGTGAAAGAATAATTTTCAGGTTAGCGTTTTTAGCGAGTTAGTTTTCTACGGGATGGGGTCGCTAACCCCATGATCAACCCTCCGCCCTCATCCAGGCTGGGGACCGGCAGTAGCCCCAGAGGCGTGTCCTCCATTGGGAGTAACAGGCGTAAGTAAGTAAGTAAGGTGAAAGAATTTATATGTAGAATTAAGAATATTCCAACTATGATAATAGTAAAACACATAATTACGTAATTAAATCATCAATCATGAAAATAAAGAATTTCTATCGATCAGTTTAAAGTTTAGTCATCAATCAATGTTTAATCTCTTGACATCACGGCTGCCTTCGATTCGTTGGACAGGACTGTTATCTGGGGTTGTCTATTGAAGAAGGGTGTGCCTAAGAAGTTTATTAACATCTTAGAGGACTATATACAAACACATCAGGTAGAGTGAGGGCATACAACCATCTTTCTCCATTGTTCCATTCAAGCAGTGGGGTTAGACAGAGTTGCCAAATCTCAACATTCCTCTTCAACTTTGCCATCGATGACATTTTGGAAACATCTCTGATGGATGTAAGTAATGGCGATGTGGAGAAAGACTTCTCGACCTTGAGTATGCGGACGATATTGTCCTACTGTGCGATAATGCCCAAGGCATGCAATCCGCACTTAATCAGTTGGCAATCAGTGTCCGTAAGTATGGGTATGTGCTTTGCACCTTCGAAGTGCAAAGTACTTCTACAAGACTGGCAGGATTGTAACCCTGTACTCACCCTGGATGGTGAGCAGATAGAAGTAGTGGAGAAGTTCGTGTATCTGGGTAGCTGCATAAGTGCTGGTGGTGGCGTGAGTGATGAGATCAATCCACGAATAGTGAAAGCCAGAGCAGCTTATGCCAATCTGGGCCACCTTTGGCGCCTTCGTGATGTTAGTCTGGCTGTAAAAGGTCGGATCTACAACGCGTCGGTGAGAGCAGTTTTGCCCCATGCTTGTGAAACCTGGTCTCTCTGAGTGAGGATGTCAGACGACTCTGTGTTTGATCATCGTTGTCTCTGAAGGATTGCTGACATCCAGTGGCAACACCATGTTAGTAATGCAGAGGTTCGGCATCGTGTGTTCGGGCACAGAGCGATAATCCAATAGGTGTCACCATCTTGAAACACCGACTTCGGTGGCTTGGACATGTTCTCCGAATGTCGTCCCAGAGAATTCCACGTCGTGCATTATTTGCCGACTCTGGGACTGGTGGAAGAAGCGGAGAGGTGGTCAGTGCATGACATGGTGTCGTGGCATGAAAGAAAGCTGCAAAGGACTGGCTTGTGTTGGTCTTTCACGACTCTCTTGCTAGAATCAAGAGATGGTGCAACACAGTGGCTAGAGACGTTATCAGATATGGCTGAGAATAGAAGCCAGTGGCGATCGTGCTGTGCCCTTCTTTTACTTTCTTCATAAAAAGTGGTTGTATCTTCCTTAATTGAAAGAATTCTTCCTGGTTGCACCTTTCCGTTTCCCCCCATTATTATTAATATCACTACACTACCTTACACTAAACTGTGGTCGTTATTGTTCTCTCCTTTTTTTTTCTCATACACATTTTACATTCTTCATCTCTTCCCATTCTCATTGTTATAGTGTGGCGCATATATACCTGATGCCCCCTTGTTCCAATATTTATGTATTCAACTAAATAAAACAAATCTCTATCAAAACTAAGGTAATTGACCATGATCAATAAATGATAATGACTAATATAATAATCAATATAACTCGAAATGATACATAGAAACAGATACAGTTTTCTGTGATGATAAGTAACAAATACAAAAAATAAAAGTTTAAAATAGTATCCTAACTAACAATGACCTTTAATTAATGAATATAATATAAACTAATTGTTTTTTGGGAGGGGGGGGCAAATAAAAAATGTTCACAAATGTTGACAGTTAATAAATGACCTATTTTTCTAGATGTTATTTGTTTTGCATTATAGTGAGATTTCTCAAAGGATTACTGGTTTCATTTCCCCCGAAGAGTGGATTGGGAGGAGAAGGAGGAGAGGGGAATTCATTTTTTTAAGAAATCTGAAAAGAATTTATCACATTTTGTTAAACGATTGAATTCTAGACGTGAATTTTTTGCGTTGAATAATTATCACGTACAAAGATAAACATTACAAAAAAATGTTTCATGTTACATTAAAAGAATTGCCCCCATATGCCCTGGTACTGCCGAGAGTGGGAAGAGTCCGTCCTCCTCCTCCTCCAAATGCTCTCACATGGCCATGAGCATACAACGACTACCATGAAGGTCCTACGCACTTCCTTTTCGCGACATTACTGTTGATTACGAAATCGAGAGAACGAAAAGCGAATGCCGACGTTTCAACTGGGTTGGTGGATACAGAGAGTTGGAAAACCTTGATTCCAAACCATTGGTGCACATGGGCTCCAGTATCCTCAAGGAACAAATGGCGTATGAACTAATCGTTGGCCACCGACTACCATGGGACCGCATCTCCTTACGATGCTTCATTACCTTGTGGATTAGACCTTTAGGTCAAAGGCTCCGAGTGTGTCCCACTAAGAAAACCACCTACTTCGGTCTGGGCACCCTGTCAGTATCACAACCCTCACACAAATCGAATGAGTTATGTGGCGCATATCTAGCTGATGCCTCCTTGGACCTATGTTTATATGTTTAAATAGATAAATAATAAATAAAAGAATTGTACAGTACTATCTAGATTTTAATGAATAACTACCTGAAACGGATCTATGGTGTAAAATATGTTCATACTGAATAAACTGTACAAGTCCCATGTGTTTAACTTTTAATATTTTCAATTTGTACCGTTCCACACAGTTGTTAGTAATGTATTTGTGTAATGATTATTTAATAAACATTATCTTTAATGTTAAGACACCTAATGTTGTAAATCACAATTATTGAAGGTGTGACTGGATATATAATGAACGTCTTTAAAACTTCTCAGTGACAAGTTGGAATTATTAATGACGTTAAACATACATTGACAAATGATTATTATGCTGAATTACATGATCATAACATATACCCCACTAGTGGGAGCATAAAAACAAACAGCTAAGTTCGTGCGCAAGACTGAATGCCATGGGTACGAATCCCGCGAGCGGGATCGTGGATGCGCACTGCTGAGTAGTTCCACAATGGGACGAAACGGTTGTCCAGTGCTTCCAGAATTTCAATGGTGGCCTAACATCAATCGCTTCATGATCTCAATCAAAAACTTACATAATCTCTACAACCCTATACTTTAATAGTTGAATTCATGAGACAATCTAAGCTAGTCCGCCATTGAGAAACTAGAAGCATTGGATGAAAATATCGTCATAGTCTGGGATTTATTGAAAGTTCTCGCCCACGACCTCGTATGCAGGACTGAAATCCAGGACCTTCGATCTCGCGCGCGGAAGCTTAACCCTTAGACCACTGAAGTGACATCCAATAGTGTTAATATCTAACTTCAACTAATCTACGATATTAAGTGACCGTCCGCCATCGCTTTCATTGAGTAATTGCCTCACAACAAACACGGTTAAACTACAATTGTTAGGACTCCTCAGTCAATCAAAACAGTAACTCTAATTCATCATTGTGATGAATCATGGAAAGTTTTGTAAATTGAACAATGAATTAATTTCTATTATATTCATTTCTTGAATCTCTAAGCTAGTTGCCTTAGTTTAATCATTTGATTAATGATAATTACTGTCGCATCGAAAGCTGCTACACAAATTTTAACGAGCAAAACGTACGAATGACATAGTATTGTGTGTACAAGTTCTCATTTTATCAAACGCCATTACGTATTATTGCATTATTTAGTCATTGAAATTATTCAAAGTCCAACCATATAAGGAATGA